ATATTGACGCCAAAAATATTTCGGGCATCGCGCGCCCTTCCCGCGTCACGTGTAGGCATCTCGCATCTCTGATTGGTTGTTGCGTCTTAAGATGACTGAGCCGACGCGCGTTTAAACAATTTTCTTTGTTCGATTTATCACACTTCACAGAGAATTGTCGCCAATGGCTACTTCTTTTTGTTGCAATATATAATACTTCACGGAGAATTGTCGCCTATGGCTTCTTGTTTGAGTTTTTTGGCTGTGTTATAGCAAATGTATTACTGTGTTAGTGTACCACGTTCGGGCATGAGTCATCACAATGGAATGCAGGGCATCAACCAATAGGCATGCAGCTTCTCTCTATTCTTCTTGCTGATTGGCTGTTGGAATTTAACAGGCTTAACTTAATTAATACCTGCTCAGAGCATTTCCATACTGACAGTATGTCTGTATTCAAGTGTTTTGGTAGGTATTTCAGGCTTTCCTGCTCCAGCATTGGAATGCGGGGCATGAACGTTTTTTTTTTAAATCAACAGTTTGCATTATGCAATTAAAAATCCTAACCAATAATGTAAGGAATAGCTATCCAACTGTTGTTTTAGTTGTATGTTACTTCATATTATAGTTATATCAATGTAAATCATTGTTTTCCCTTGTGTTTCTCATTCTTTCCCTGCCATGTCGTAAAATGTGGTGAAGCCATCGCTGTATTTGCTCCAAAGCAAATATTGGCCTTTCTAGTTAATATACAGTCAGTTTCTTTTTTTTCATTGCTTGTCCTTCACAGATACTGGTGATCGATACAACTGCCATGGGAAACAATCATTCCAAACGAGGCAGGGACAGGAGGGGGGTTCTTCGAGCAGAGTGCAGCAACTGCAGAAAGTGTGATGAGTTTGTGCCACAGGCCAGAGGAGTCACCTGTGCATACTGTGACTGTGCACCTGTCCACCACAGGGAAGTAGTAGGAGCCGACATCCACCCGGCACAGCTACATCAAGGCAGTGGTAGGGTTATGGTTGCATTGTCCCCTCAGATGTCCCTCTTTATTTGTTTTATTGTCTTAGACACTTTAAACATAAGTATACAGTATGTTAGATATATAAACAAACACTTAATAATACACATGTATATAGAAAAAGTCCGCCTGTAACCTAAAATCAGTAAGTGTATAATACATATAGTATCCTTTAGCTTGTGTCCTACATTGTCCTTGTTTTCCCATACTGATGCTGATTTCTCTGATTACAATGCTAGTTAGGCCACACCACTTAATTCTCGAATAAAAAAAACAACATTAATTTTGAAGCAAGAGGGCAAAAAAATAGGCATCCTCTGATAGCCTCAAATGCTATGATAGGAGCCATGAAGTCAACACAAAAGGCTGAGTTAATATTCAAACAATAAATTTTGAACTTTTAATCAAACCACTGCATTTACATGTATACAAATGTAGATGGTTAAAAACTGTCGCGTTAACAACTAGGAAGAAAAGGACTTTTCTCAACTGTTGGGGGCAAAATATGACCATTTTTGAGTTGATTCAGAGCCAGAATCTTTTTTTTTATCAGAAAAGAGGCAAATCCGAGAATCAACAAATTAAATTGGTGTGGCCTAACTTACAGAACGTTTTCTTTGATCATTAAACAATGATTTTCTGAACTTTCAGACCATCAGACTCATCATCAGAGCCCCGGGGTGGAGGGTACTGGAATTGTTGGAATACAGACACAGGGAGTCTTAGGCACCAGTCCTGGCTCAGCACAAGCTGAACTTGACCAACTTAAAAAAAAGAAAAGGGAACTTGAGCAGCAACTTGAAATCCAAAAGGTTCGAAAAGAAGTAGCTGAACTGGAAAGTCGCTTATCTGAGGAGGCCAACTCTACAGCAGATGACTTAAGGATATCCTTCAGCAGCGAATCACCAACATCCTCTCATATGGAGTCTCCTTTTGGAACAATGTCACCAATTCAGACCAGCTCTTACACCGACTTGACAGAGCCAAAAAGGCCAGCAGAACAACACATGACCTTTCATCCAAGAGCTCGGGGGAAAAACATTTGTATTGAAAACAAAGGTACAACAGCTCGTAGTGTAAACAGCTTTAACAGTGGAGTCTGTTTCAGCCGAGTGCCAGTTGGTGTTGGACAGAAAGTTCAACTAAAGATCGTTCAGAGCAGAACATTTAAAGGCTCTATGCGAATTGGGTTCACGTCTAAAGATCCAGACACAATAGATGAAGAAAAGTTACCATCACATTCCTACCCGGACATGGCACAGCAGCCTGGGTTTTGGATAAAACCCTTGCCTAACAGGCTGGCTCGTCAAGGCAATGTGGTGACATACACAGTGGATTCTTCAGGAAGTGTCAACTTCTACATCAATAGAGAGAGCAAAGGGCTATTCTTTGATGGTGTTGATGTCTCTGGAAAACTTTGGGCTGTGGTGGATGTTCATGGCAGCACCATGGCTGTACAGCTTGTTGGTAAGTTAAATAATCTCCTACTTGGCCACACTACTAGGCCACACTAGTTTAATGTTGGTTCTTGGATTTAATCATGAAAATCATGAACTGACAGGGCAAAAAAAGAAAAAAAAATTTATTGCTCTAAGGCTACAGCAAGTAAATTTTATGGATAACATCCTCCGCAGACTCAAAATCTAATGCGAGCGGGCGAAAAAAAACAAGGGGGGCCTAAAAAAACAAGGTTCCTACATTTTAAGATTTTGACTCAATCATTGTACAAATGGTTCAGTGGGAACATCACATATACACAGCCAGCATCACATATCACTGCATGAAAGTAAGAAACAAAACATTAAATCAGAGCCTTTTCTTGTCTCCTCTCTTCATAGTTATCTGCCATCTACATTCCGGCATGGCAACAGACATCTTTGCCCATTTTCTGCATGTTGACCACTGTCAGAAGGCAACAATTTTTTTTCCAAAATCAGGCGAAAATTAATGCGCGCTGATGTCATCCATAAAAATTACTTGCTGTGGCCTAATGGTGCGTCCTACCGACATGCTTGACTGATTAATATACTGTATTTGATGAGCTGAGCAAAGTTTTTTTTTAGTTTTAGTTTAAAGCGGTGATTCCGAGAAACAACTGGTTTAATTAATTTAGATCAATTTGCTTGTGAAAAAGTGTGAAATATCAGAGGCTTTTAGAGGCTTTTTGGGTTATCTTCAAACAATGGGTGAGAAATTCAACACTTGAAACAGCCACTAAAAAAATTATTTCTACCTGGACAGACTGCAATTTAATGGACCATGATGGGTGTAAAAATGACTGTGTTAAAGTTTCTGGTGATTTTGTCTTAACCACACAGATGAGCAAGCTGTATGTGATGCTGTGGCCAAAACTATTTACGAAGGGGACATGGTTAAGCTAGATGTGGAGAATATGGACACATTGAGTTTGTTGCAGGATGGGCATGGAGGCATTGAACAAGACATGGAACAGGTAAGTCCATTTTATTTTTCATTTAGGCCACACCAATTTAATTTGTTGGTTCGTGGATTTAAAAAAAAAATGAAGCGAGAGGGAAAAAGAATAAAAACAGGTCTAGGCATCCTATTATAACCCAAAATGCTATGATGTCAACATGATGTCAACATAAAAGAATGGGTTAATATTCAAACAATTAATTTTGAACTTTTAATCAAGCCACTGCATTGATAGATGGAGAAACTGTAGAAACTATGAAGAAAAGGACTTTCCTCAACTGTTGCGGGCAAAATATGAGCATTTTTAGTTGATTCAGAACCAAAATTTTTTTTTTTGCAAATCAGAAAAATGAAGAGGTGAATCCGAGAACCAACAAATTTAAATTGGTGTGGCCTTAGTATACTGTAACACTAACAGTGTACATGTACATTCCATGATTGTCAATGTCACACAGGAGAATGAACTTTCAAGATATTTTAATATGCTAGTATTAGTGTCCAATCTTTGATCATGTACTAATAGACTGTGGGGCTGTTCCTGACAGTTGGTTAGGCAGCAATTGGCTAATATTTAATAGTCTTCACACCACGTTTTTCAAGCAGCTCTGTCCAGTGGTTCCACACCAGCAAGATTGCACTCTCCTTCTTGACACACTCCAACCAGGCTTTTCTATATATATATATATGATTGTCTACCTCTATCTCTGTTGCCACCTGGCTACGTGTAGCTGTTTCAGTGACCATTTTACAGTGAACTCCATAATATGTGGTATTTCAATCCCTTAGGCAATTGGGACAGTTGGGATGGTCACAAAAGTTGACGATGAAGAAGATGTATTTGTATACTTCTCCAACATCAAGAGAAAGTGAGTAATTTTCTATATTATGGCCAAACAAATACCATGGAACAGTAATATGAAATGACAATATGGCAGTGTAACAGCTGCTGATACCAAATTTTTTTACTGCTTCAACTTCAATACTACCAGGGCTCAAAATTCAATTGTAGGAATAGTTGCTCTGCTGCACCTAAGTAACATCTAAAAAAAATTGGGTGCACAAAAATATTTTGGGGTGCACCGTATTAAGATGTCAGCAAAAAGTAATAATTATGTTTCATTTCTAAAGAAAAGAGCTGTTACAACAATGATTTTATATTTTTCTGACACTTGGATGTTAAGAATATACAAATTGCAAATCTTATAGTTGTAAACCTACGAATTTCAAAATAATTTGGGTGCACTGCACTCACAGAAAAATTTAGGTGCACAGCTCCAAATTTAGCACCCAGTATTTCAAGCCCTGACTACATATAGCATAATATTTTAACAATAATTGTTGCATTTTGTAGGTTGTGCTTCAACCCTGCTGCCTTACAGAAGGTTGGAAGGGCTGACCCAAACTCTGCTATTCTCAAGGATGGAGATCTGGTGTGGATAGGAGACAATGTTGGGAAGATAAAGGCTCTACAAGAGGGACATGGTGGATGGATCGATGACATGGAAAAGGTTTTTTAAACAATCATTTATAGCTATTAAGATATGTCAAGCAAATATTTCCTGTAATGTAGTTGGCACTGCCAAAAGATTTTTCGTAAAAATTTGTCGGGCGGTACGCGGTTGACACGGCCAGTGCTATCGCTTCGGTTTCTCATAATATTATTTTTTTTATAACAGTTTAACTTTAATGGTTTCGATACAGTACTCAACTACGTACATCTGCTAAGAATAAAGTTGATTTGCGGTGATTTGTGGATCGTGTGTTTCGCTTGAACTCGAAGTCCGTCGTGAATGCATGTGGGGAGGGGGGGCACACTTACGCAAAACATATTCGCGTGGAAATAGATTCGCGGTACAAAGGCCCCCGCGAATTCCGCAAATCTAAATATACCGCGGAAATTTGTAGACTTACAGTACAGTTATGTTAATATTGAATAATTGAATATTTATGTGGCAGCTGTTTCTTGCTAATTATCTGCACTCACACTCAAGATGACAATACAGGTGCTGGGCTTGGTAAAAATTTTAATGTAACATTTCAAATCCACGGGTGGGAGGGTGGGAGGATTTTTTCGAGGATTTGCTAGAGTGGCTGCACTAACAGCACGCTACTAGAACGGAAACCGAATGCGACCTCGGATCGGAGGTCAGAAGTCATTTCCGTGCAGTCAATTAACTGATTTGGTTCTGCGCCCCAAATACTGACAATTATCTGCACTCTCACTCAAGATGACAATACAGGTGCTGGGCTTGGTAAAAATTTTAATGTAACATTTCAAATCCACCGAGACCAAGCCCATAGGGAGACAGTAGGGTGGGGAGAGTGCAGTAAGTGTAGTAGTGAGGCCGGAGGCGGAGGGAGGGAAGCCGAAACAAAGGCCGCAAGGGCCGAGGGGCTAACAATGAATCCGTAGAACAAGTGCCGAGGGGCTAATAGTGAATTGGTACAACAAGCGCCGACACTGCGGTGCGGCGACAACTGGCTAACAATGAGTGGGCTAAAGAACCGAAGCATATTGCGAAATTGGTAGATACTAAAGGCGAAACTGACGGACAAGCTGAACAACGGGAACTACTAGGTACTAACATGGAAGTTCGCCAAGTCTATTATGTAAACGGTACAAAACCGGCTCAGAGCAGGGCCGCTAGTAGCAGTAACGGGAGATACGTAGGACTGCCCTGTCATGCCTAATACAGGTAGTCAAACTTAAGTGCTAAGACATGATATATACATGAGAACAAGATGCCGCACAAAGGCATCGGATAAATCAACAGTAGAACAATAAACGAGAGTTCGTGTAGAGTTCGTATGAGTCTATACTGCGTCCCGGTCCAGTTCCAGGAAACCTTGGTTGATTCTGGTCGCAAGTAGAGTAGCGAACGAACGTCGCTGCTCGAAGGAGCTGTCAAGGTACGACTGGAAAGCGTCCGAGCTCCAGTCACCGAGCAGTTTAATGATCTGAGGATCTGCTCCGCAATGCCAAGCGAATGTCGCTCCGCCGCGGCGGAAACTATGGCCGGAGTAGTCACCTGACGGCAGTCCAGCGGCCGCGAGCAGAGTTTTGAGATGTGCCACCAGAGAGTCATGTGTCAATGATACCAACCTGCCCGCCGAACCCGGCACGAGGAAGGCTGGAGAGTCCGATCCAACCGGGAGGAGGCTGCACATGTTGACGTACGCGTGTCGTGGGCACAGGGGATGGCCGGGAATGGCCGGCACAGGAAGCAACAGGACCTTTTGCTTGAACTGTAGAGTCTTGGACCATGTTATACGCACCACGAGTCCGTCCGAAGCGACACGGATAGCACCCCGAGTCAGGTGCTTGCCTGGGTCAAACGCAGATGTCGTCTTAGGCACGAGATTCGACTTCCGAAGTAGTGTGAAGAAGGCAACAGTGTATGCCGCCCACAAGGTGGCATGAAGCGGTCTATTTAGATCCAGATGATCCCGCAGCCGTAGTAGGATAGCCGGAGTGATCGGAAGTGTACGCTGCGGAATGTGCGGGGATTGTCGGCGGAACGAGGAAAGGACAAGGCGTAGCTCGAACGCGTCAGATGGCGGAGGCTCGCACCCTTGGAATCATTGGAGCAGTCTGGCACCGTGGATGTAGATCTGGACCGTGCTGGGGCTCTTCAATGAGCGTGAGAGGAACTGAGCGTATCTGGTCAGAGTCCTCGCGTCTGTGGGAATGGCTGGAAGCCGGAAATACTCACAAAACAACAGGAACGCTTTCCACTGAGTCCATAAGTTAGCGTAGGTACCGGCGGCAAATGCAGACCTCTTGGCCGCCTCGACTTCATTGTCCAAGCGCTGAAGCTGTGTGTGATGACCTGTAAAATTACAACTGAGTCAGTAAATCGAATTGCTGCAACGATACTTCTACCTCACAGACGTGCATGTGTGCTGATAAACGCAGAAACTCGTTCTGGTGGTAGTTGGAAGACGTCCAGCGACTGAGGTGATCAGCAAGGCGATTCTCGAGGCCAGGGATGTGAATGGCGCGAAGCTCGAACTGCCCTACGGCCGCACAGAGCCACAGATTCCGTAAGCAGGTTTGGAGGAACGGGGAGCGGCTCCGGCCAGAGTTCAACACAGTAACCGATGCTTCATTGTCACACATGACTACTATCCTGCTGCCGGCCCAGTGTTTGCCCCACAGCCGTGTGCAAACCAAGATGGACAGTAGCTCCAAACTGTTGATGCAAGGGTTTGACGCGAGCATGGAAGGCGGAAAAGTGGCGTGGAAGTATTCCCCAGTGCTGTGGAGAAAGCCGCCGCAGCCTGTCAGACAGGCGTCTGAACTGAAAACAGCGTCGGGTTCCGTCCAGCCGGTCCGCGGAAGTAAGGAGACACCGTTGTAACAAGGTAAGAACGTAGACCACCATAGAAGGTCTTTGCGAAACTCACAGTCTATACTCACCCGCTGGTGACGATCCGAATAGCGTCGCAGGAACAATATCATCCGTGAAACGAACAATCTTCCATGTCGCACGCATGACCCCAAGAAGTGTAGCTTTCCCAACAGAGACTCGACCTCATGTCTGCGAACACTGGTCTTGACACGCCAACGGTCCAACTCGGCCAACGTGTCTGAAAGTCTCTCCGGTGTCACTTCGATAGTCATGCGAATAGAGTCCACTGTGCGACCGAGAAAGACAATACGAGTGGACGGCGGCGTGGCTTTGTCGTCCGCCTCCATTAGTCCGAGGTACCGTAATAGCCGACCTAAAGTATCGAACGCTAACTCGGCCCTGTGCGGAGAGTCTGCGCCGCCGAGATCGTCCAAGTAGTTGACACAACGAAATCCGCATCTATTATATATGAACGCGGCGGCGTCGGTCGTGCGCTGACACGCCTGTGCGCTAGAACGTAAGCCGAAGGGACAGACCACGTCCGCGTAAGCGTTACCACGCCAGGAGAATCCCAACAGGTGATAATCTGCAGGGTCCACGAACAACTGTCTGTATGCGCGGCGAAGGTCACGCTTAAACATGAGGCAGCCTGGGCCGGCGTTGACAACTAACGCAACGAAATCATCCATGGAGGGGTAGCGAAGCCGATGCGGCTGACCGAGATAGGTCCCGGTGGGTATCCCGTCGTTAACTGAAGACCCGGGCGGGTAACTAAAGTCCACTACGATGCGACGATCCGGAGAGGCTTTCTTCGGCACCGTCTGCAACGGATTGCACACCAAACCGGGACTGAACGTAGCCGGCGACAACGGCCCTATTGTTGCTCCGTGCGACAACTCAGTGCTGATGAACCTGTCCACGTGACTGGAGTACTGCAAAGCCGAGGGGTGGTTGGTGCGCGGCACTCGCGGTTGCGCGGATGACTCGTAATTAACTGGGAAGCCGAACTCCAGGAAGTCACATAAGAAAGTGTCATGAAAACCATCTAGGAGACCTCGCCATGCGGAAACGTGTAGCTTGGTGGGTACTGGAATGCGCTCGGACTTGAATTGGGTACGCCTGACTGTCGAACCCGAGCTGTGTGTTGGCCGATCCGCAGGGGAATCCGTGACGAACGTACATACGCTGAGTTCATTCAATAACTTGACAGCAGAAGAATCGAAGTCCATTCCGCCCGTGCGGAGATCTGACAACATTACATCCTCACCTGAGGAAATTACTCGGGACGCTGGCCGAGCCAAGTCCGATCCGCTTGTGCGGACATTTGACAACAATACATCCTCGCGTGAGTAAATAACTGGAGACACTGGCTCATCCAGAGCCGACCCGCTCGTGCGGAGATTTGACAACAATAAATCCTCTTGTGAGGGGACAGCACGTGCTGCAGTGAGTAAACTACACGGCTCCGACACGTCTGAAGAGTCCGGCTGTGATAAGCACTCTTGCGTAACACTATCACTAAGATAAACAACGTTCATGTCGCAATCCGAGAAGAAGCCAGAAGTGCACTGTTCAATGAGATCGGGATACAATGAAATACTAGATAACAAATTGTCACGTACCGAATGTTGCAAATTGTCACTTACAGAATGTTGCAAATTGTCACTTACAGAATGTTGCAAATTGTCGCTGACAGAATGTTGCATGTCCGGAAGTAGTCATGCGGAAGACGACTTGACGTTGGCCCCGTTATCGGTAGATGAAGCACGTTTCTCTTTGGCTTGCTTCCTGTGGCAGTCAGCGGCTGAGTGTTTGAACCTCTGCGAGGTCTTTTTCCAGCAGTAAGCACAAAGGTGGTCAAAACGACACGTATCAGCGGCTCACTCGTTCCTAGAGAACCGAAAGCAGAAGCGTGGAGGATCGGATTTCTTGGGCTGTCGACTCGCGGAGGACCCGGCAGGCTTGATCTTGAGCGGATCGGCATCAAAGTAAATCTCCTTCAGGGCTACCCAGTCGTCCGACCATGAGCCTGGCTTCCGGAGCGCTTGCTTGACCGCCGCTGCATGAAAAGACCGAACCACGGTCCAGTCATACCTAGCCAGTTTGTTACACGTATATTCCAACAGTGCTATGCGCCCCATCAGTTCATAGAGGGTAGGCCGGGATTGCGCAATAAACCCATACAGCCAGCCAGGAATTCTTCCATCTCGAGCTCGTCATACTTCTTCGTTTCCGCTGAATGAAAACTATGGACGAAAGACTCAGGAGATAGGATTGCCTTACCTTTCTTTGGCTTCTTGCCCGCGCCGACAAGATCCCCATACTTTGTGGATACGAGGCTCTGAAGCGCGGCATCCTCGCGGAGCTGGGCTAACGTAATGTCTGCGTGCCCGAAATCCACATGCTTGCGTTCGTCGTCTTGAGTTTCGTCCGTCTTGCTCCCGTCTTTGGCCGGAGGAAGTGGCGAGGTTGTAGTGGTGTCTGTGGCCAATTCCTTCTCTAGCGCATCCACTTCCCGCTGAAGCTTCTTCAACTCTAGGCGCTGAGTAAGCTCTGCCTTGCGCTGTTGTAGCTCGGCCATGGCGCCTTGCATGCCTTGACCCACAGCGCCGTTGTCTTCCAGAATCCCCGTGCAATCCTTGCCAGCAACGCCCGATTTGTGCAGGGCGACGTCCAAATGGCATCCTGGACACTTCTTTGAACGTTTGGGAGCCATATCTTCCGAAAAATTGTCGGATTTGAACGAGAATTTTTGAGGATTTTTTCGAGGATTTGCTAGAGTGGCTGCACTAACAGCACGCTACTAGAACGGAAACCGAATGCGACCTCGGGTCGGAGGTCAGAAGTCATTTCCGTGCAGTCAATTAACTGATTTGGTTCTGCGCCCCAAATACTGACTATTTTGATTTTGGCTTCTAAATAGTGCAGAATTATATAGATTGATGTAATTTAGTGTCAAATTTGATCTAAGTATACAGTGTTGTCAGCAAATTTTCTTCAAATCTAATAATGAATATTAATTGCTTCAGACCCTTGGGAAGTTTGGCAGAGTGAAGCGGATTCATCGTGGTGGGGATGTTCATGTCAGAGTTGGGGGAAAGAGCTGGAGATACAACTCTGAGGCTGTGCAGAAAATGCAGACCCCAGCAGGTATAATGACTTGTAGTACATATAATCATGTAGGTGTACACATATTGAGGGTGTACAGAAAAACCTGGGTGCCTACCAGCACAGGCCACCTGCATGGCCCGGCTAGCACGTCAGGCTACTCAGATCCCCCAATCATATCCTCGCGAAAGATAAGACATCCAAGCAGCGCCTTCTATATTGGGATGCAACTAATCAAAGGTTTGAGGCAGTGGACCTACATTGTAGGGGGCTTGTATAACCAGTATCACAGCACAGCCGGTAGAGGGCATCAGCGGAGTGCAGAAAGGGCGTGAGTCCGAGACAGGCTGCCCAAGGTCCGAGCACCTGTGTGTAAACTCTCCACCTGGCACTTGACGAGTCTGACTCCCAGGATATGAGTAATTTCCTGCCAGACCAAAGATTCTACTCTACTCTACTGTACTCTAGTGGATTAATACAAGCCACAACCGTTTACAGTACGCTGTTTGAAATTTTTTTTTTTTTTTTTTTTTAGCCAGGTAGCACAGTGTGCTACCAATTGGGCAAAAACTAGGTAGTGCATCAGGACTTCAAACAAATATCTGGATCAGTTTATTTCTAATCTTCCTGTGTGTAAGGGGTACCATAATAAGCACCAGTGTAATGGGTTTAATTTCCATGTATTCTGCTAGAGGGTGCAGCTGCTTGGATGTCTTATCTTTGTGAGGATATGAATGGGGGGATCTGAATAGACTGCTATGCTAGGCAGGCCATGCAGGTGAACAGGCCAGGTAGCCTGGCCTGGAAGGCACCCAGCTTTTTATTGCTGGGTGCTACACTCCACATATCGGCTCTAATTCCAAGATCAGGGTGTACCTGCATTGTACATGTATAAAAGTATAATATTTTAAAAAAGTGAAGTGCAATTATTATTATAATAATAATAATTGCACTTCACTTTTTTTTTCAATTTTCAAAATGTTGGGATTGTCAATACAGAAAATGTTAACAGTAGTTTAATTAATTTTATGTTCGATTTAGTAACACTGTGTATGGTGCTTTTTGTTTGCATTTTGGGAACTGTTAGAATAGATAGTCGTCTTTATCTCTTTTTTGAGTGGAGAATATGATAAACTGATAAATGACCTTATGCAATGAGGAGTTTATTTAAAATGCTGATCAAAGAAACAGTTAAATACCAAATATCATTTTGTAAACTTTAGGTTTTAGGTTGTGTATGGAAGTATAATAATAGTTCTGCATGTAAATTGTAATTCATGCAGGGTTTAAATATAATATAAAAAGGCAAATAAATGTGTAAGTCATGACACAGTATATTATGTAAATCCAGGGCAGGTTGGGATGTGTGATCAAGGACTTCACCATTGGAAATCAGGAGTGTGCAAGGTGTGTGTTGGATGTCGTCAATGCACTGCAAAAGGGGCTGGATGTACAATGAAGGGAAAGCCACTTCGTCCTCCTGGCAGGTCAGTCAGTTCAACAAAAATTTGGCCATCAATTTGACCTAAGATCTAGGTCAGAATCTACTGCCATGTATTCTTAGTTCAAAGTTGAACACTGCACTGAATCCTTAAAATAGTTTTTTGAAATATAAATGTTAGATAAAATGCTTTGAATCAGTTCTATAACTTCTATTTCTGATAGCTCAGAGACTTTCCGATTTCAGTGATGATTATAATCTAAGGACTGAAATGTCTGCTTTTCACTGCTGTGTACTAGAACACAGTTCCTTAGTCTAAAATATCTAATAGAATCTGGTTTAACCATTAAGCCCCTGTGGATGTGAGCAAAAAGATGGAGGATGTGGAGATTGCGGCATTTGCCGATCTTGTGTTGGGGAATCTAGCGATGACAGCAGTGACGATGACGCACAAAACTTGCACAAGCTGCAGCAACTGGGGGAAGCTTTTGAGCATCTTGGAGAAGGTAGGTCCGCTTTTGTTAAATGCTATACGATGTGATTGTTTCCATTTAAATTTTCTATGATTTTATACTTAGCAAACTAAGATTTTAACTAGAAAGGCCATTTTACATTTGCTTTGGTGCAAATGTAGCATGGTTTCACCACATTTCACGACATGGCAGGGAAAGAAGGAGAAATACAAGGGAAAACAATTCTTAATATTGATAAAACTATAGTATGAAGTGATGACATACCAGGTAACTAAGAATGCAACCGTTGGATAGCTATCTAGTACTATTGGTTACTTTGCTTTTTTATTTGCATAATGCTAACTGTTGATTTTCAAGATTAAAAAAAAGTGTTAACTTTATTCCAATGCTTGAGAAGGAAAGTTCAACAATTACCTACCCCAAAAGACTTGAATGCAGTTCAATACTGTCAATATGGTATGGCTTAATGTACAGCTGTTAATACAGTTGCTTCATTGCAGCTTTCAATAAAAACTTTTTATGCTTTCCTTCAGGTGGAGGAGGGAGCCGTTTAGCGGGGGCAGCCCGTGCTGCAGTAGCACTTTCCCTCTTGCAGCTGGGACAAGGAGGTGGCCTTCTTGGCAGCCGTGCTGCAGGCCTGCAACCTTTGCTCCTAGCAGCCATGCTAGGTGGTGGTGGTAAGAATTTCTGCACAACTTCAATTTCCCTCATTCTTTTACATGTAACTGCACCAGATATGAACATTGTTTTGATCATAATATCATGATCCTGGTTGTAAAAAAGAAAAAAATTTGAAGCTAAATTAAGGAAAGTTACAGACTGTATATGGTATGGAGTGAAATATTTTAGTCATTCCAAGAATGATAGTAATGGCTTTAAGCAACTCCCATGGCTGAATTTCATGTTATAGAGAACCTGTATGTTACTGATGACTTGTAACGCATAGTCTCTAATTATAATAGATCTTTAAAAATGCATGTGTCATTAATCCTGCCAATGTGTCAGACAGTAAATTAAACTTCTCTAAATTGATAAACATGTTTAATGTCACCAGTGATTCTTTTGTGTGATAGTAGCATTGTAGGATTTATTGTAAGAATAATTACGGATTGAAAACATAAAATTTTTCAGTTATTACCAACTGATTTGTGTGTTGATAAATGTAGATGACAATGATGAAGTAGAGGAAGAGGCAGCCCTTGAGCATGGTATGGGAAAGGGTGATGAAGTAAAGGTGGAAATAGATGGTGAAACATTCCGCATATTGCAAGAGGAAGGTGGCACAGGCTGGAATGAAGAAATGCTTAAAGTAAGAATTTTTTGCATTTGTTTGTCCAAGCAAATTTCCTATTATGTAGTCCTGACTTTTCTACCACAGTATAATGAGGGCCGGCATGTGGGGTGAGGTAGAGTGATTACAAATTATGCATTCAAATCATACAAATTACATTAAAGTCTCATTAAGAGCTAATTACGACGTTACACTTTGCGGCTAATGTACTACAAATAACGTTGATTTTTTGGGAGGCTCCCTACGGATTACGACCTTCAAGACTAAACAAGAGTTCTGAGATCTCATACCTCCATGAAATATGGGCTTGATATGTAAATGTAAATGAAATGACATGTGCATTAACATAATATATGCATCGTGATGTATGTTAACTTTTGATTAACTTACAGATGTCCCAAGTATGACAATCCCAATCATTCACCATTAAGAAATCATAGAATTTTGCATTAATTATGCAAATTAGGTCATCATTTGCATAATTAGTATCTGTAGATGTTCTGCCTGCCATAGGTTACATACATTACATGTATGAAAGTAGTATAATGTAAAACACTGTAATTATAGAATGTCCTCATTAATTATGCAAATAAAGTCCTCATTTGCATAATTTGCAAGAAAGTGCCCTGCAGTTCCAGAACAAGCTGCTAGGGGGACCAAACTCACACCACTCATTCCTGACAAGAAAAGCAATCTGTCACCAAAACATCAAGACCATAGCATGTTCAGGACAAAAGATACAAAAACTGGAAGTTCTGCTGCAGTATCAAGGTCATCCACCAGGAGGCCCATATTTGACCTTGACCTTTGTCTTCCTAAGACTTACCAACATACCAAATATCATCATAATCCATAAAGGCGTTATGAAGTTATGTTGATTAGAAATGTGCGGAAACACAAACACACAGACACACAGACAGACACACACACACACAGACGGACACACAGACAGACACGCCAAAAACAATACCTCCATTTTTCATGGAGGCAAAATCCTGATTATGTCTTATGAAAAAGGGTATGCAGTCCCCCTATAATTAATGTCCCAGAATGATGTAAAATTGCTAGCTGGAAAATTTCTGAGTCCCATGAGCATATTAAATGAACCATCACTCACTCACCAAAAACAAAAATGACATATGAATGACAAGTAGAACATCAATAAAACAAAAATAATATATCTTGTGGTACATACAGTTCCCCATGATGCTTTTCGGTCTTCCTTCTTGTATTGATAAAGACCTGGTAACCAGCTTTTTCAAAGAAATAAAAATTGAAAATATAGTGACTGTCCTTTTGATTTCCTGCATTTCTAAAATGTACATTTTGGCCAATACGCTTAAACCTGGTAACCAGCTTTTTCAAAGGAATAATGAAAGATTGAAAATATAGTCCTTTTGATTTCCTGCATTTATAAGACTTCGAAGATAATGTTGAAAGTATTTAGTACATGTATAAAGTTGCCCTTTTGAAACAAATGTATTTACTTTTTCTCAAAAATCAAACACTTTGGGGGCAATCCCAGAAGACAATGTATTAATAAGTTGCTTTTGATTAAAGGATAATTAGGATTTATTGTAAACAGCTTTCAGTTGTCAATATCATTAAAGTTGACCTAATTTACTTTGTGCATTCTGCTCCTAAGGTTCTTGGCATTCCTGGAACTGTTTCTGGTCTACTGGGAAGAAATGTAATTGTCCAATTCGTCAATGGTGCAAGGTATGAAAAATCTGTCTAAGTCTAAGACTTTTTAGTAAATTTAACATTAAACTGACACTGTGACTGTAACAGTAGCATGATTAATATTTTCCTGTTGACTTTCACCAAATGAAGTACTTTTTAATTTAACATCAAGTTTAACTTCAAATTGTATGTCAGGCAAAACTTTTGTCCTGTGACTTTTACACGCACAGATGGTCACTTGTTCCTGGCTGCCTTACTAAAGTCTCCAGTGCACGACGCGATGGACGAGAGGCCATTAAAAGGAGTGACCTCGTTAAGTTGATAAAGGATGAAGAAAAACTGAAGGAACTGCAGAAAGATCATGGAGGATTCAATGAAGATATGCAGGCAGTATGTCTTTCACTATTGATCTAAATTGGACATATGAAATGTACCTGTCCATCATGATAACTTCCTTGTACAATTGACTAATACATGCACATACTAGAAGTCCTTTTGGGCACAGCTACATATTGTACAATGTACATACTAGTCATGTAGGACACCATTTTATTAATCAAAAAAGAAACCTGATTTACCTTAGACCATAGTCTATCCCATCATAAATCATAGTCATAGTCTTAGACCATCTTAGACCATAGTCTATCCCATCTTCCAATATCCCTATTCAAGAAAGACTTGAATTTATATGGCATAATGTACATATTGATTTTCTAAATAAATATGTTTTATAAATTTTTAAAACATGTTTTCACAGTGTCTTGGCAAAACAGGTTGTGTGATAAAGATTCAAAAGCGCCAGGTAAAAGTGGATTTTGCAGGAAGAAGGTGGTGGTTCAACCGTACAGCTCTCACCCCAGCTCTTTCAGGTATTAATCATTTTACAACATATCACATTTTGAGATGTTCATCTTGTTTCCAACAAAATCACTGTCAGTGAACGGTATTATAATTTCTGGTGAGTTACCTTGCAATTTTGTAATGACATTTTTGTACATATAATATTATATAATATTATATGAGTTTAAAGTAAAATGTTTTACAGTTCATCTACTAGTAGTTTCTGGTAGAAGACATTTAGAAACAGGTTTGAAAAAACAGTGTTTTTAAATTCCAGTATATCCGGAAAGACAGGTTAAATTTTTATAATGAACTAGAAAGGCCAATATTTGCTTTGGAGCAAATACAGCGATGGGTTCACCACATTTTACCACATGGCAGGGAAAGAATGAGAAACACAAGGGAAAACAATGATTTACATTGATATAACTATAATATGAAGTAACATACAACTAAAACAACAGTTGGATAGCTATTCCCTACTTTATTGGTTAGGATTTTTAATTGCATAATGCAAACTGTTGATTTTCAAAATAAAATAAAAAACGTTCATGCCCCGCATTCCAATGCTGGAGCAGAAAAGCTTGAAATACCTACCAAAACACTTGAATAAAGACATACTGTCAGTATGGAAATGCTCTGTGCAGGTGTTAATCAAGTTAAATCCCAACAGCCAATCAGCAAGAAGTATAGAGGAAAGCTGCATGCCTATTGGTTGATGCCCTGCATTCCATTGTGATGACTCATGCCCAGACGTGGTCAAAACACGGCACACTAACACAGTTACTGTAATACATTTGCTATAACACAGCCAAAAAACTCAAATAAAACCATTCTAAAAGCCTGTATCACAAAAATTTAATAAACGCCTAGGGGTATTTGCCCACTGTACCTCCATACCAAATTTCAGGACCTTAGGCCCTAAAATGAAGAAGCTGAATCCATTTAAAGATATGGCAGGAGGAGGAGAAACATCAGAAAAAGCAATATGGGTTCACCACCACGAAGTGGTGGTGAACCCATAATAATAATGAAGAATAATAAATGAATTAAATGGGAAAGCAAATGTCTCTGGTATAAGTTTTTTTTAAAAAGTTGCAAAAACAGAATTATATTGCTCTAAAATCATCAGATAAGATGGGGTATACATGTACATGTAGAATAGTTATTATAGAGGAGGAACTACATGCACAATGTATTACTGAGTATTTCAAACATCAGGCAATTGCAACACAAAAATTGAGGAGGCAAGGGGGGCACCACAAATGGGAACTTTATGTTAACGGTTTATTTGAGCAAACAAAACAGTCTATTCTGTAGTACATAATTTAAGATAGAAACAATGATTATCATATAATATATACATATAACGTTAGACCATGCATAATTATAACAGAATGACTCTGATACTTTTAATTATGTGCTATTATTAATTGCAGAGGAAGAACAGGAAACCACACACCAGCTCAGAGAAGGTGACTATGTCAAGGTGGACGTAGATCCAGAGACATTCAAGTCCAACCAACTAGGCCATGGTGGATTTGTTGATAAGATGAAAGAGGTAGGACAGGAATAACCTGGTTTGAGTGGGCATGTCTGTGTATTATATATTGTACATGTGATGATGATACATTGTACATGTGCTGTTCTGATACGTTTTTGTAATAATTGTGGTCAGCATGATTTAAGAATTTCTGGTTATATTGTGATGATATTTGTTATGTTCACTTTATACAGGAGACAAAGGCCAGGGTCAATTTCCTTGCAGAAGAACTTTCTGACTATATTGAATTGTTTCTTTTGTCATGGTAATGCAATGCAGATCTAAATTGTTAAGTGACAAATAGTGTTTCATGTCAAAAAAAGGTTTTTCTATAAACAGATGCCTGAGTGCTGGAGCCAAATTTTCATGATTAATACTAATTAGAATGCCAAGATTTGGTATCATTTGCATATTAATTAGTGATGGAATTTTAAAACTTGAATCCTGCCAAAGGACAGGACTTTCACAATCTCATATAATATTTTTAACATGTAATTTTAGTAGAGAATACCATGATCAATCAAATTGAATTATGCTAATTACAAATGTACGTCATCTTATTATGTGATCACCACCAAACAAGTTGAATTCAAACTGAATCTTTTTTGAGGGTATGGGAGCCATAAGATGGCATCCAGACTACATGTACAATGTCCAAGCTCTGGCCCGGGTACCATCCTTTGTAGTCCATGGTAGTTAGCGACAATAGGAAGCCGGTAACCATGTATGGAAGATGGCACCCAGGCTGCCAAAGCTCAGTACAGTGCTGACTCATAAATGTTGCAAAAGGCCAGCATGTGTCGGCTTGTTGTAAAAGTCGCTATGACTGCAGTAACTGCAAAGTCAAAATACCAGCTTTGTATTCATTTTTTTTGGGTGGGGGGAGGCTGTATTTTTTTTATTCGCCCGTTCGTACTAGTGTGGGGGTATTCAGAGGATGTCATCCATAAAATTAAGGTAGTGTGGCCTTACTAAAATGGCTTTTCATTGTACTGGAGAGATTATTAAAATTCAAGGTAGCTAATTCAGTTTTTTTTCAGAAGATGATCCTTAGAGATCACAGGAGATAATTACTAGAAGTATCTATTAGTCATATCACCTGTCAGTGAAATATCTGCATTTTTATAGATTGATTATAATAAAAAATATAGATTAAAGCAGTGTTCTTTACATTTTCTAATTCTTACTAATAGTTATATTGTCCCCCACATGTAATATGATTTTGACTACATCATCAGTTGGTGGAAGAAGTTGGTATTGTTCATCACATTGACATTGATGGTGATGCAGTTGTCTACTATCCAAACAATACAAGGTGTGTTTTTGGCAGTGTGAATTTCAGCTTTCTTTCCTGACATCCTGATCTGCTTTTAAATCTCAAAGAGGCTGTGATTTCTTCACATATATCATGGTTGCCATTGCCTTTTCTTGTGATTCAGAATAATGACAACAGTGACTGAACAAAAATTTTTATCTAACTTCCTATTACAACCAAATGTCATAATTCAATGGGTTCACACATTTCTGACAATCCGATGCAAACAATTTTAAAGAATATATAATTTTAAAGTGCTCTTCAGTGATCTAAAAGCTGCTTTCAGGAGTATTCCCATTTTGTGAGCACAACATGAAATTTAATGATCGCAAAACACAAGCAAGCAACAGACAGGCAAGCATACTTATTACCTTCAAGTTGCAGTTCAAAGTAAAAACCTTTTAAAAGTTTGGTTTCAAAACAATCAGACACAGCCCCTGATTGATAATTACATTTAATTTTATTATTATTAGATTCTAATGATGATGTTGCATTCAATTTTGATATTTTGTCAGGAAATAAAAAAATAGTTAAAGAGTATCATTTAATTTTAAAGAATTAACTTAAAGGCAATCAGACTCTTGCTCTCATTTATTTATCCTCTGCCACTGAACAAACTAGTGCTGTAACATAGTAAACTGTAAGTTATACTCAAGTACCATAGAAACATCTGCCACTGTTAATAATTACATGATTGTATCCATAATTTCAGTCTTCAACTGTCAGCAAACTACCATGAATTTTTTTTATTTTTTATTTTTAATAAAAATTTAAATGTTTTTCCTCCGCCAGCTACAGATTTAAAAAAAAAAATCTGTAGTTGCACTAATCTTTTAAGCCATCATAACAGTTTAAGCTGTACTTAATATATGCTTGGGTTAAGGGACCAGCTTAAGGTACTATAGTATATACATGTATACTATATATAGGATTACATGTATCTTATCATGCTTTTTTGTGTAGGTGGTGCATCAACCCACTTAACCTGGGCAAAGTGGACCCAGACGAGTGTGGGGATGTGGACATCGGTGGTGTATTGGAGGTTGGAGACTGGGTCAAGGTTGATTCTGACAAAGACAAGATCAAACGTATTCAAGAGACCACAGTGAAATGGGATGAGGGCTACTATAAGGTATGTCTGGGTGTATTTATGCAGAGAAATTCAGAATGTGACATCATCAAATTTTGCTTCTATCTTTAAGTAAAATTTATGGTTTTCGTGAATGTACAATGTAGTTTTACACTTACTACTACAACTACACTACTTGAAAATTTGAACTTGGGTCAATTTTTGCAAAAGTTCATATGAATGGAACTATCTTATTTGTGTAATAATTTTCTGATGGCTACAGACATTGTATAGAGATTGCAAATTTACTAACACTTAGTAACAGTCTTTTGTAAATAGGAGCTGTGATGTGTACATGTACGTATTATATGCAATGCAATGTGTATTGAAATTCAGCTCTGATAATTGTCTTGGTAGCTGTAAAGTCACTTCATACAATAACCAAAATGTTATGTTTGAGAGTTTGTTGAGTCTGATATTCATAATTATGTAATAACATTTTTTAGAAATTTATTTTTCTAATGATCCCTACTTTCAGGCTGCAGGAATGGTTGGCCGTGTCAAAGTCACCTACCCCTTCAATGATCTTGTTCGTGTTCAGATCAAGGAGGCCAACTATCCACTGAACCTATCCCTCATCAAGAAAGCAACACCCTCAGGTATTCAGGCTTTAAACTGTAGATAACTACTTTTTGTTGAAACAGCAAATGTTGCAGAGGTGATCATGAGGCAGAAGTTAAAATGAACTACCAGGTATGTTAATTATTTAATATAATAGAATGTGAAAAATTGACATAATAATAGTGGTGAATAATTCAAGAGTCTGAACTTCTTAAATCATGTCCACCACTAGAACTCCCACATTTCTGGCCCACCTGTGGTTGACAGGTCTGCAGGTTAACTTAAGGATTGAACCACCCCATTTGCCTTATACCCACCCAGTTGCCAAAAAGTCCCCTTGTGCATGACATTCTGCAGGTTTGCAGACAGTTGGTATTACATGTATCTGGTTTCCATGACAACCGCCATTCCTGGGGAACATCCCCTCCCCCTTCTGCTCTATTACAATTATATAAATATCTTAAACCATATACTGTCACAGTGGTAAACTTGAAAAGGAATTCATGGAAGGCACTGTGTCTTTTCTCGCAAATGTGTGTTTGAAATTGTAAGAAACAATTATTATATATTAGAATAATTATTCCCAATGGGTGTTCCCAACTTCAGATCTCAAGGCAACTCTCCACTCAACAAATATCAAGAGCCCTAACTTTGCCAGAGGAGACTTGGTCAAGATTGATGTAACCTTAGACAATTTGAAAATCCTACAAGAAGGACATGGAGGTTATGTGGACAAGATGGAAAAGGTGCATCACTAACTAAATGTTTTATATATGTTATATGTTACATATAGTATACCATATAATGTTTTGTTAATTTGTTAATTATAGACTGAGCAATAAATACTATGCATTTATTAATTCTTAGCATTTGCTTTGATCATCAAAATCAAATCAAAATGTCAACAATGCTTTCATGAAGTAATGGTACAATGTACTATTAGGATATTGGGATTTTCTTTTACACGCAGGGATTGTGTTCTCACCACAAAAGCGCTACCCTAAAGCAGCTACATAAAATATAGTATTACAATGTCAATGACATTGTATAGCACTGAGAAATAGTTGACAGATTTAGCTCTGAAAAAGGTGCCTGGTTAGTGTTGAAGGGTATTCACTAAGCAGGTGAGAAACAGTTTGGAAAACCCCAATATCCAAATTTTAAGTTTTACAGTAAATATTGCACGTATGCTTTAAAATGTTATAACATATTACAAAATAGAATGTTATGCATACTATCAATATCATACATGTACATGTATGCTGAAAACTGATTATAGATTAATGCGGGCAGTAAAACATGTAACTTGGCCAGGTTTTTTTTATACCTAGTACCTCTACATGTTGTTTCTGATACAAACAAACTTACATGTATGTATGTACTACAGTAATTCACTTGGAAAGTCTATTTCTTCGCATTTACCGTCCAGGTGATTGGCCTGATTGGCTGTGTGAGCTACATTGACCGGGATGGTGACATCAATGTGAGATTCAGTCCCTTTGGGTTAGTAACTTTTATCAATACTTTTCCTTACGCCTGTACAAATTGAGAACGAGTTCAGAGACATCATACATCCAAAAGATATTAAGGAAGTATGTTAAAATTGCAGTCAATCTTGACCAAACAACCAACTCTGTAAGCCTGCAATTGATTAGAATATGCAGTCCTTATTTTCAACTTGATCTCCGTTTGAGCAACCTGCAAGTCCAAAATTACATGTATGTCATTCCCTTTCCAGTTATCCGACTATGAAAATGGTATTTAAAGCTTTTTAGCAACAACACTGGTACCTGCAGTTCAAAAATTACTAGGCAGACCAAACTACCGGTAATCTTCCTATACTGACATGAAAATGTCCACAGACCATGATGACAAAGATTTGACAGCAGGAAGTGCTGCTGCAGTACCAGGAAAAGCCATCAGGAGGCCAAATTGACCTTGACCTTTGTCTTTCCAAAACCCACCTGGAATTATATAGATTTCTTACTAATAATAGTATGATCTTCTTTAGTTACAATACGCAGGCAGAAAGTCAAACAGACAAATAAGCAGACACACCATGCAAAAACACTGTGAGGTAAAGGGAAGTGCAGTAACAGTATGTTTCAAATAAACTCTTTTTTTCCTCAGGGATTTAATTTTGATGTATATGAGGACAAAAAAAGGCTGATGCAGTGATTTAAGCCCAATGGTGGAATGATCTGTAGCATAAAGTTACATGTAGCAATACAAATTATATATAAATTATTAATTATAATGATGGTCATGATTTCACAGAGTTTACAATGAAAACTTAAAAATTCAATATTCGGTGTTAATTTGGTGTTTTTTTTATATAATATGTGAAGAATTTATTTTTACTTGATGCCATTACGGTAATGAGTGAACTTGAAAGTCACAACAGTATATTTGTTTTCCTTGACAGGCTATGCTTCAACCCAAAAGCCCTGATTAAGGTTAAACCCACAGAGGATACATTCCATGTTGGCGACATTGTCCTAATTGAATCTGACAAGAGGCGCTTGATGTCCCTACAGACTGAAGATCATGGGGGTTACAACCAAAAAATGTCTTTGGTGTGTGTAATTTTTTTTTGTTACTTCTTTGCACTCATTCCATTTTAGAATTTGTAGACTAGTTATTAATTTTTGAAGATGATAATTTTGAGTCTTTGGAGATAATTCTTCCCCTATCTCTCTCTCTCTCTTGTGAGAAACATATCAGAAGAACAATTTTAAGCCAAGTTTACAAACTACAAACATGTATGTGTACAATGTACATTAAGAGGCATTCAACTTGAAGGTGAAATAAATCAGCAAGGCTGAGTCTTTACCAGCAAGGCAACTGAAAGACAAACCCTACCTTGTGTAACCTCTCCACATTAAATTTTGTCATGATTGTGAATAAGTACATAATTTCCATGAACTTTACAAGTACTGGATTATCTAGTAACCACAATCTGTCATGATTGTACCGTTTCTCAGTCCCATGTAAATGTCATTGTATTATTATAAGCCTCTTTTTGCAAATTTAAAGCCCCTTAACTTAGTGTTTTCTCTTTTGTGATCAAGTTATACCAGTCCTGCATTATAAAGGGTGTAGTAAAAAGCAAATTCAACGGTTCAAAAAACATTATGTGAAATGGAAATATACTCTCAGGCTGGTACTTTGAATGCAGAGGGATTTAGTAATACTATCATCCTTTTGGCCACTTTTGGCCATTTTGTCAATAAATTTCTATACTATGCCAAAATTTTGAATGTCATGCACTGTGGGCATATGTCTGCAAACCCACCCTAAATTTTGGATCATTTGGTGTCAATAAATAACTAATAATTTACAGATTGAACTTTCCCACGTTTCAATAATGATAAAAATTTGTCTGCACCTGATAGTCACAGGTGTCTTCATACCAAATATGCAAACTTGAAGAAAAATGAGGTCGACCAGGCACAAATTCTGGGAATACATATACCTGTAAACAGTAAATAAACCACTCTTATACCTTTACCTCAATTTTTCATGTATCCATCCACTCTCAGAGTGGGCATGCAACTTGCAAGGGCTTGATCTTAGCTAATGCAACCACTCAAATTTGTCATAATACCATTAAACTGATGATTTTTTATGTACTACTGGTCCAAAAGTTTCCAAACTGGACCAAAATTTTCAAGACAAAGATTGAAAGGTTTCAAAGATGTTACCTGGGGACTAAAGATGTGTTCCCATTTTGGGAACTTCATTGCACATTGAAAACTTTAAGAATTGTGTCATCTCCCAGAATAGTATATTCAAGGTTCAAGTTGTTTTGTTTCAGACATGTGGAAAGACTGGGCGACTGTTAGGTGTCATTGAAAGCAAGAAAGTTCGAGTGAAGGTCCAGGGGAGGTCTTGGTTGTTCAACCCAGATCTATTGACAAGACTTGGAAACCCAGGTCTAGGTAAGTACATTATTTTGTAATGCTACATTTTTTTAACAATCATAAATTATTTATTATATAATAGTTCATTATCAATATTACAGAATGACATTATTTTTGAAGCTATATAAATTATGTATTATGTGGTTGATCTGGTGTTAAAGGACAGGTGATAAAGAAATCATTTTTCTGAGTCAGATCCTTTTATGAAATTGTCTTAAAGTTTGTTTTGACCATGTGCACTTTATGATACAATGTAATGCTATTTTGCAAATAAATTCTAGCCTTTATTTGTTGCCTCATAGGTTAATGTTTCAAACCAGTCAATTGCAGTTGCTAGTAATAAAATGAAAATTGAATGACTTTACATGTGCATGTACAAATTGTATCGTTCTCTAATTCCACTTTAAATTCTTCTTCTGCTCACAGACACTTGTGATACTAAATCAAAGTATACAAAATGTGTACAGATTCAGTCTAAGCCAAGCGAAATACCCCCTTTTTATCTTTCTTCTTATTTCTTTTTCATTGTACCCCTTTATTTAATTCAAGAAATTAAACAGAGGACCCAGGATGCCTTGATATCCTTTACCTTTACAATGCCATGTACAAAGAGGACTGACCAACTGCAACCTGATTAGAGAGGCAATTGCAAAAAACGGATCCGAAATAACTAAAATCCTTGGTTCATATCATTCATCACACACAAATGATGTACAAAATGTACAGTGCATGTGTGTGCTGTATTTTTTTTTTGTTGGTTTTTCTGTCTCAGACATTAGTTAATGACTATGATCATGATGTCTTTTGTGCCAGGTACTGGAGACTCGTGGAAATCAGCAACCATCTGTTCCCCTGGCAAACATGACTGGAGCAAAGGCAGATCCCTGGTGTGTGTCTCATGTGGAGAATGCACAGAGTTTGGAAACCTATGTCCTGCACGAGGTAGACCAGACAGATACCCTGGCAGGTTAATATTATCATTTTTTCATATATTTTGTTACTTGTAGACTAAGCCATTAATTGATCTGTTACCCTTAATTGTTTTCACTGAAAAATATCTAACGGTTATCTGATTTTTTTCCACATGACTGTGTAAATTTTTGATATGCTACAGTTAGCTGCTTAATATGCTTTGCAGCTTTTGCGGCTGTGGGGATGGCCATGCTGGGTGTGATGACTGTGGCTGCTGCAGAATGTGTGCAGGAGAGGGGACTGTGGAAGAGGATGAGTCAGACGATGATGACAAGCTGAAAGAGCTACTGGGAACTGGCCTTGGTGGAATCTTTGGAGAAGCTGTTAAGGAGGCTGTTCAGGAGCTCAGCAACTTAAAGAGTGGGTTTAATGATTGCAAAGCTTTTAAACAATGTATAAATGTAAACAATGTATAAATGTAAACAAAGTATTTTGTTTTTTATCATGTACATATGTATAGAGGTCAGAATATAGTCTAGTAAGTTTCATTTATAAATCCTTGGCCAAACCAATTTTTTTAAGTATATAATTAATATATTATACACAATAATTAATGTACATGTATGTAATGCACTACATGTATGTAATGCACAAACCACAATATTTAATGTACATGTATGTAATTAAAGTTTTTTTAAGTCAATAAACCAGTCATCAAACCATTCATCTGAAATACTTTATCATAATAATTATTATCTTTATTGTTGTTCGATTACAAAGTTGAATGTACCTCTTTTTCAATAACGAACTGTCTTTTTTACTCCAACAGAGTCCATTGAGGAGACTCCCACATCTCATGCTGATGATCATCTTCCAAATGAGGCAGGGACAGAAGAAGAGCGAAGTGAACGTTTCTATGCTGCTCTGAAGAAGATGAGCCACACTATTGAGTTAATGAGGAAGAGCAAAGGTCCAGATTCCATTGATGCAGTAAAAGAAGCTTTGGAGAAAAACTTCCTCATCCCTTATGCCATGTATGACCGTAGGGCAGAGAAGAAGCTTATGGGTGATCATCTGGCTAACATTGATGCAGCAAATGTCTTCATGCATTACCTAACTTTGCTGTCATCAGAGGCAACCAAGAGTGGAAGTGCAGAGAGGAAACTGCCCCTTGGATGTCTTGAGCTTATGCGCACTCTCCTGATTCATTACACCGATGCGAGCTCTGAGTTCTGTCGTGCTGTGGGCAGAAGTGGGCTCATCAGCCTGCTTGTGCAAAACCTTGTCAGTCTCCAGGATGCAGGCAGTTTGGAGCATGATGTGAGTACAGTACATGTATCTCAAACATTGGTCCTTAGATATTGTGGAATCACAATGGTCATTGTAATGGTCATTGATTTTTAACTCTCAGTCAATTGTAATGACCATTATTTGGGTGGAGAATATGATCACTAAGGTACTTCAGGCAAAATTTGTAAAATTAACTGATGATCATAGAATAGTCAATGAGGTTGGGAAACATTCTAATTCATAAGCCTTAAAGTATGATATCATTTGACTAAGTTATGAGCTTGTTGAACCCTTAGTTAATGATATACTTTTTTTTCAGGAGAATCTGGGTGACATCACTCGATCAATGATGACCATCCTGTACAACTGTGCAAGGGTTCCAGAGACTAAGGACTACTTCAGTGATGCCGGTGCAGTGAATCTGCTTAAGGCATCCCTGCGGACTAAAGACATGGATATCAAAGTCACTACGCTGTGCTGTCTGGCATATATCATTGATGCCAGTGAACTCCATCTCATCAGAGTTGACTTCACAATTGCAGATCTGATTATGGGCCTACTGAATGCGGCCATCAGTGACCCCCAGCATTCTACTGTGCTGAGAGACTACTCGTACTCAGCTATGGAACTTGTGACAACACTGGGAGCCCTTGCTCGCAACGATGACAACAAGAATGCATTCATCAGAAGAGGGGCAGTGAATCTGCTCATCACATTGATTGAAAGTGGCGATGAAAAAGAGCAGGAGTGTGCCATCTGCTGCATCCAACGGTTTGCCCTCCGTGACAACATTAGAGGCTTTATCAAAAATGATTCGAGAACAGAGGAAGTGCTAAAGGTAATGGTGGAGCACGAATCTAGGCCTGTCCGAGCAGTAGCAGTGGAAACATTGCATCTCCTGGAGAATGGACCCAAAGTGACCCAAGGTTATTGCCTTTACATGTAGTTGCTTACAAGCTTTAAATTGATGATTAATTTTATGCTTTTAATTAATGTTAAAGAAAACTTCATACCTTCATTTTGAACTTTCTATGGTATTGAGTTTTGAGTGGTGTAGGGTTAGTGTCAGGGCTTTAGGGTTAGGGAAGATTTGGTGACTTGAAGACATTATACACACACAACAAAAACAAAACAAACTTGACGAAGGTATGATATCACTGAACTCCAGTTATGGACATAGGGAGATTTTATAATTGCCCACTGCATTCTTTGACATCACCACAAATTTGGAATAAGTTAAGCTTAAATTCAAAGATGACTTTTGAACTTTTGGTAGTAGTAAATTTAAATCAAACCATTATGATAGTAAGAGCATTTTCTTTTGCAAAGCTCATGTTGGAATCTACAATATACATGTAGTTGTAACAAGCAACACAAGTTAATTAACATGATGGTCAACTGCAATGTATCAATGAATTTATTTTAAATGTTTTATCATTAAATGAGACCTTGAATGTGCTTTTTCAGATTCTAATCTAGGCCCTGCCCGCTTCAGTGAAGTTGATTACTCGGACTTGACTGAAGGTCAGTTCCTTGGACAAGGAGCGTTTGGCAAGGTATTCAAGGCCAAACACAGGGTGTGGATGATGGATGTTGCAGTGAAGAAGCTTGCATTGAGACTGTCAAGCAATGAGAGGTATGATATGTTTCAGATTGGCAATTAATAATCATATCTGATTATGATGTAGAGTAAGTCCTCATTATCATTCGTTGTCTGCTAAGGTCACTGCAGCTGAATTCCAACAAAGTCCAAGATATTTGAAGTTTCCATTGCAGTTGCCAGATTCCATTCCTGCAGTTAATGGAAACACAAGTCCAAATTGTTATCACGCACACGAGTGTGTTTTGATCAAGGTTCAGGTAAAGCCAACCTCTATTTGGCATGGTATTATCAGGCCTAGTTATGAGTTAATATTAAGACTAGAGTTCCCCGATCCCATACCTTCGCCAAATGATGTTAATCTTTATGACTGGCAAATTATAGATTATCCCCCCTCCCCTGATTTAACAAATAGGATCCTCATTTCCATGAATTATTATGTCTTATAACAACGCCAGTCTAGCATTTCCTCATAAATTATGCAAATGAGGTACTGATTTGAATACATTATGTTTAATGATGTTTGCCTTCACTTAACTTTCAAATACCACAAGTATGAAATTCCAGGCAGTTATCATTGCTGCATAATTATAAAATTTTCTCAAATTTAATTATGCAAATTAATTCTTCATTTACATAATCAATATCTGCCTGTGTTTCTCTCGTTCTCAATTACCAATGTCACAAGCTTCAATAGTCATATCATGGAATGCAGCTAATTTATAGAATTTCCCCATAGATTATGCAAATTAAATCTATATTTGCATAATTGTCACAAATATATCAAGCATCACATAAGCTACCTACATACCAAAAATCATGATGATCCGCCAACCAGTTCTTGAGTTATCCTCTTTTGAATATTTTCAAACAAATAGCCCTGCAGTTCCAGAGCAAGCCGCTAGGGGGCCCAAACTCACGTCACATCTTTCCTAACACAAGAGCTACCTACCATCCAGATTTCGTCACCCTAGCATGTTTAGATCATGAGATATAAAAACCAGTTGAGCTGCAGTACTATAACAAGCTGCTAGGGGGTCCAAAATCTAATCATTTTGAGGTCTCATCAAGACCTACCCACCTACCAAGTATCAAGACAATCCATTAAAACCTTCTCAAGTTATCGTGTTTACAGACAGACAGACAGACACACACACCCACACACACACACTAACGCCTCTGAAAACATAACTTTCTTGGCTAAGGTAAAGATGCCTCAAAGTGCAGACCCAGATGGAAGGAAAAGTTGTGGTCTTAAAATGTGTCTTGCTGGGGATGAAGAAGATAAATACAATGTATGTTGTGATAATTATGAGTTTTTTTTAAACAGAGATCAATTTAGATTGGCAACTTTTTCGTCAGTGTCCTCAGAAATTGTCTCCATTGAGTTAGTGTTACAGTTATATACATGTATTTATCAAAACATTACAGTTATCATTAACCTAAAGGGATGGGAGCTCGAGCATACCCCTACATGTATGTACAATCATGAACAATGTACAGTTCTCCTGGCCAGTGCTGCCTACTAGTACATTTATTCCATATATTTGCTGGCATGATAGAGGATTGGTCCTAGCTTGGTCAGCTACATGACTAGATTGTGATGTATGATGTACATGTAACGTTACATGAGGCCGGAATATAATCACAGATGAGTATATTGTAGTCAGAGGTAACAAATGTTTTGCCTATTCCCTTCTATATATGGTTTCAGACATTGCAACACTATACACAGTATAATTTATGTATACAAGAGCGTTGAACTCTAAACTTTGCTGTAGACTCAGGTTTATTCTTAGACTACTTTAGATTTCTGTTAAGAGTCCTTATGAGGAAAACAGTTCTATCTAAATTGTACACTTCCTTTACAACAGCTTGAAAAGAAGGCTGTTTGATGAAGCCAGCTTCATGCATCGAGCCCGCCATGCTTTCATTGTCCCCCTGTATGGAGTTTGCATCGACCAGCACTTCACAGGTCTTGTGATGGACTTCATGGAGAATGGATCCGTGGAGGACCTGATGAAGAAAGTAAAGCATGTGCCCTGGGCACTCAGATGGCGAATTCTGCATGAGACAGCACTGGGGATGAACTTCCTGCACAGTCTGGACCCTAGGATCATCCATCATGATCTAAAGGTCCAAAACATTCTGTTGGATGAGGACTTCCATGCAAAGGTACTGTACATCCTTTTATAAATTATTGTTAATTAGGGTTATTAATACCTCAATTAAAATCGTTTTAGATTATATAACTGTTAAAATGTTGACAGCTTGTGTTATCTGCATCAATGGTCAGACAGACTACACTGAAGAGAATGGGACACTTTATATGTACAATTAGATGTCAATTGTTAATTTAAGTGTCAATGACCAGAGATCATTGACATACATGTATCATTGTAAGCATACTGTATCTTAGGGCTTGTCCACTGCAACTTAACCTGCAGACAAAAATGAATAGTGTAATAATTTTTGTTAAAACCACCAATTTGAAATCACCAGACAAGACCAGACAAGGTTTATAGAAAATGCAAAATGGAACAAAATTGAAATGAAAAGAAATACATGTATGTCGAAGCAAAAAGCAAATTAGATTGCAAACAGCACAAAATACAAGAAACAAGAACAGAGTAAACAAAGTGGGTGGTAAATATATTAAATATCACAAGATTGTATATAATTCACAGTTATATTGAATAAAACCTGTCAGAAAATTCATATTTTACTGACGTGTTAAGTCTTTGATTATTACTTGATTGTTAATGCAGTTTATGTTTTTTACTACCTAACCAAGTCAGAAATGATTCTCAATCCCTGATATCCACAGATTTCAGCAGCAGCATTACCCAACTCTAATTTTGACTCTAGAAGTTCAGAGCACATTTGTTTGAACTGGCAATTTTTTATGTTTGTTTCAATGTATTAGATTACAGACTTTGGTGTATCTGAATGGAAACAGCGCAGCAAACCAGATGTAGTAAATGATGTGAAGGGTTCAGGCATTGCTGGTACCATTACACACATGCCACCAGAGCACTTGCAAGATCCACATCTGAAGGCAGGGAAAAAGTTTGATGTGTACAGGTAATGTTAATTAGTAAAAATATCAAGTATATTAAAGACTGTTGAGTAATTACACAATGTTCTTACTTCTCAATCAGATAATGTAATTTTTGTTTATGCACATTTTGTGTCATCAGCTGTACAAACTATCAAATTTACTAAATTTTCCATTACATACAGTTTTGGAGTCGTGATCTGGGAAGTGCTGACAGGACAGGTACCATTCCAAAGTAAGACCAACTCTACAAGGCCCTACTTTTAAGCTACATGTACCACAGAAAGTTTCCAATGAGGAAATTGCTTCAACTTTTGTACTTTCACCTAAATGATAGATCATGTTTCGGGTGCTGTTTGTATACATTGTACATTGTAGAATGTGCATGTGTGTGTGTGTGTGTGTGTGTGTGTGTGTGTGTGTGTGTGTGTGCTAGGGTTATTTGGTGTGGGTACAGGTAGGTGCCAACATATCCTGGACATACTAGCAGCCTTCAACTGTATAATTTCTGGTATTTACATCTTGCAATCAGATATGGATGAAATATGCATGGTATGGATGAAATATAATTTGTGTCTTCCTCTCGTTCTCCTGTCATATATTCGGTCGAATGGAATCCAATCATTTTGCAGCCTAATGACCTAAAATTACAAATTTGGCTATGCGTTTTCTGACAGATGCAATCAACAGTGCCCACATTGCTGATGCTGTAGTTCATGGACAACGTCCTGACACAACGCTGGTTCCTGTAGGGAAAAATGGGCCAGAGGAGTTGTGTCACTTTGATGCTCTAATGAAAGACTGTTGGCATCAGGAGCCTGCTATGAGGCCAGGGTTCAGAGGTAATTATAAGTATTACCGTCATGCAATGTATCGGTAATGATAATAAATCACAACTGATAGCAATGTTACTTCATGAGATTGATATACTGGTAAATTGAATACAAACTGTACATTTACATGTACATGTATCTGTCTACTTTAATCAATAGCAATGACTGTTGAAATTAATTTCCTTTCTTGGCAGAAATTGCTGAGCGTGTAGAGCCAGTCATTCAGCAAACACGGACAAAGGTGGTTGAAGCTGTGCAGACGGTTCTGAATGCTCTTGGTACGTCTGTCACCCCATGCTATCTTTAGTCATCTTAGATTTTTGGATGCTCATCTCTTAGATGCATCTAATGATTCTTCAACCAACTTTTTAATTAATATTTTCTTCCATGTCATATACTGTACTATAGGATATTAAAGTATCAATTCAAACAAAAAATGATTGTGTTGAAAGTTAATTTCCTCCTTTGGTTGTTACATATCCATACAATGTCATTCAATTTGATGAAAGCTGAAAATGTATTAACAACTTAATCTTCAACTATTCAGAAGGCACCTAGCCTGGTATAAAGTCTATCACAGGGTGCCTTCTTATCATTTTCGTTCCACTCCATTTAATTTCTTTGAAACATACAGAGTACCAAGAAATGCAGTATCCAGATTTCAGAAAAAAAAAGCATTTGAAAATGATATTTTTGCACACAAGCATTATATAAAATGTCTATGGCACATTGAGTTTGTTGTTGACTCCTGCACAATTTCTCTTGATTTACATGTACTACAGGGAAAGGGGCAGAGAAAATACCACGCCATCATAGTGGAAAGTGGGACACTGGTTTGCGGCGGAATCCTGGCTTGAGCAGTGAGCAGCAGTCACAGATGGAAAATAGTGGAACAAAAGGAATAATTCAGTCCTTCAAGAAAAATTAGGTGCATAGTACATTTTGTACATATATTCTGCATTTTGTGTGTCATGTGTCATTCTGTTACTGCCAGTGTCCTTTTGCAAGCTGTAATAAGCTATCGATGAATATTTTTTATGACAGGTGTGATGTCATTATGATATAAAATTATAACTTACAGTATACTCTAGTAATCTTTTGTTCTGTACATATTCAAATTGTAAAATAACAATACCTACATTGTACTTTCAAAGCAGAAGTCACTCATGAATAGAAGTACAGTAAGTAATAGATACATGTAAAATATTAGCTTCTTTTGAAGACTTGTGTGGTGGCAGCGTTAATTAATTTGAGGAACGACACAAGTTTTGCTGCTGAGGGAGTTTAGCCCCAGACAGTGTTTTGCCATGGATGGAGGTTTACGCCATGGTTGTTTGTTTCTTGACTTGAGAACAATAATGATATAACTCCAATCACAGAATAAGCAATGCATGCTTTCTCAGTCTCTAAGCCATGCATGTGGAAGGTTTTTCCAAACCACAACCTACTAATAGTTTTTTATGCTTTATAGTCAAGACAACCAACAAAATGACTTTCATTGCAACCATTTATGTAACAACATTGGGGTTCAACAGGTGACTGAAACAGAGAACAGGAACGCTTGGACATCTACATGTACATTGTACTATCTGCTATATCTACTATTCTGCTCTCTCTCTCTCTC